CATGTGCAGATTACATTTTTATGTGCATCAAGGGATATGCGAACGTGCACCACCAGCAGAAACAAAAATCCTAGTTTTGGGTGCTCTGCTAATCAGCTGGACAGCTGATGATTCTTCACTCAGTGCAATGCTGGGATGGTGTGCAGTAAATAAAGTGTGGTACTACCCCCTGAATGATGTAAATATTGAATAGCTACTCAGTGACCACGGTCAATCCTGTGCACTGAGCTAATGGTCCTGCGGAAAAAAAAGGATGTGATTATGTAACTGAAGACGATCATAGAGGTCTACTTAGCATTGCACAGGAAACCTTAATTCAGGAGTTTCCTAATTTTTGAGTCCTTGACCTTGTAACCCTAAAGTTCTCTTAGGGTGCGTCTAGACTACAGGGTTTTGTCGACAAAAGTGGACTTTTGTCGACAAAACTATACCTGCGTCCACATTACCGCTGAGTTCTGTCGACATAACGTCAACAGAACTCAGCAGTTTTGTCGACGCTGGTAAACCTCATTTTACGAGGCATAACACCTTCTGTCGACAGAGTTTCTGTCAACAGAAGGTGTTATTGCATGTAAACTGTCCTTTGCGTCCACACTACCATGTCGACAAAGCAGCTTGCTTTGTCGACAGAACTCAATGTAGTGTAGACGCTCTTTGTCGACAAAAGTTTTGTCGACAGTATCTGTCAACAAAACTTCTGTCGACAGAAGCCTGTAGTCTAGACGTACCCTTAATGACATGTGGCTTTTAGTTCTTCATTTTGTAGCTGCATAACCAAGCTCGCAAAATCAAACTTACACTGCATCCATCACCATCCTCAGTTTTTGGGCCTGTTTGGCTGGTATGAAAATCACATGCGCATTATGGGGGGGGGTGTTTATGATTGTGGTAAAAGACTATGATTGTGGGTGGCCAGTGCAGATGAACGGATTGTCAGGCCCCTGGGCAACGTGGGAGGGGGGGGGCAGCTCCATGCTCTAGGAAGGGGCAAGGCGGGGGCAGCCAGCCCACAGCACTGCCTGGAGCGCTGGCGTTCAGAGGCTGCCGGCGTTCAGAGACTGCCAGAACGCACAGCATGGGGTTCTGGAGGGCACTGCCTGGCACTCCAGCAGAGATTCTAAAGGGCCTAGGGCTCCAGCCATGGCAGCATCTGGAGCCCTGGGCCCTTTAGAATTGCCATGCCCCCAGGGCAACTGCCCTCTTTTGCAGTTTCCCTCCTGTTCCCCCACCCCACCCCATCAGTGGGCCTGACAGAGGAGGTCAAAGTCAAGCAAAGTAAAGCTGTGTTGGGACAAAGTTTCTCCAGTTTAGCTCTTGATGCACATTAGTCCTGACCTGCAGCCTCCTGCGCTGTTCCAGTCCGGACTCATTTCTTTGGCAAGTTCTGCCTTTTGTATTCCAGGCAGATTTCAAAGGGAGTCTCCTTAGAGACTTAGGGTAACCCATCAGCTAGAAAAATGCCATTGTTACCACATGTTAAGGACATAGATGGTCATCACTGGAGTGGAAATAGATGGTAGAAGTTGTACTTTTTTTTGGGGGGGGGGAGAAGGGGGGATGGAATGTTTGATTGTTCTGGGGCATCCAATCTGAAAAAAAAAACCCCATAAAACCACAAAAAGGGCTATGATGGCTTAAAGAGATATAGCATAATTTTGACCAAAATAGTTTCTAAATACAAATGATAATGGACCTACATCCTCAAAATAGTACAGTTTTGGAAAGCTTGTGAAATATTTAGTTTTTTAAGCATTTTCCCGGGGGGGGGGGGGGGGGGGTTTTTTTTTTGTGTCGTCACATGACACTATGAGCTTGTTCATACCATATAATATATCAAATGATGTCAGTATATACTGGAGTGATTTGAGAAAAATAATCTGTTTGCTGTTTTACATTTTATGAATAGTAGCCAGCGTGCAATGATTCCTGCTCTGGCAACTTATGTTAATGCAGTATATACCGTAATGAAATATTTTCAGGAAGCACTCCCCTCTCTTGGCCAAAGCTGATCATGCAAATCTACTGCAAAGAGCAGCTGATTAAATCAAATGCTGGCATCAAAGCAGCACTCTTATTCCCCCTACTAACTACTAACCCTTAACTGCCTACTTAATTTTAAGTGCTCTTCTACAGCAGTGGTTTCCAACTCTTTTTTATAACATGAACCGGCAAACCCATTCACAAACTTTTGGTGGACCAGTAACATTTTGCTTGCATATTCATTACGGTAATTAATTTTAAGAGGTTACATGTTATTTTACATCACATCTGTATGCACACAATACATGTTGTAATGGATCAGAGTTTGCAGATATCTACAACCAGTACTTTTTTTTGTGATGGTACTGCCCAGTATGCAATACTGGCACCTCCCGATGCGGTACCGGCACCTCCAGTCAGAGCTCAACAACTTTTCCTCTGGAGTGCCGGCACACTTTTTTTTTTAAATAAAAAAAAACAAAACAAAAAAAGCACGGTCTACAACACCAAAAAAAGTTCACAGAAAGAATTCCCTGCGGGCTGCTGTATCTCCCCCATCTCCTGTATAACCCCTGCCCTGTGTGTCTCCCTTCCCCAGCCAGGCTGTTCGTGCTTGCACAGTCTCCCCCCAGTCTCCTCTCCTCACATCCCTCCTTTCCCTCCCTGTGACTCCCCCCTCAGAATTTTCCTCTATTGCATCCCTGCTTCCATCCACCCCATAAGTCTCCCCTAACCTCCCTTTGGCGTCTCCTGCATCCCCCTCACTCCTCTTATCTGCCCCTGCCCAAACCCCCGGGACTGGCTTCCCCCACCCCACACATGCTGGTAGCAGCCCGGGACCAAACCTTTCCCCTGAAGCCACAGGGCACTGCTCCTGGGGGGGGAGGAGGGATTCGCTTACCTGCTCCCCAAGCGCTGCCTGCTCTGGGGCAGCGACTGGGCAGGGGCTGGACAGGCTGAGGGCGCTGCCCTGGGAGAGGCTCCTGGGGAGCAGCGGGACTGGCCCTGCTGGAGATTCCTCCTTCCGGCTGCAGCCAAGGCTCTGGGAGCCCAGCAGCAGTCCCTGCTGGGATTCAGGGATCTGGCCCAGTCTGGCCCCAGAGTCACCGCGAGCAGTGGCTGCGAGTCGGCTGAGCCCAGCCCTTGTTCCCAGAGCCACTGCCTGCTGCAGCTGGATCCTAGAGAACAACCCACCGTGCTGCCGCCCCTGCCCCTGGGCTCAGGCAGCATCCCCCATGTCAAGACAGCGTCATGCAGAGAAGCCAACGCAGCGCAGGGAGAAGAGACAATCCTGCAGAAAGGAGAAGGGGAGTTTCTGGGCTGACGGGGCCTTGCTCCAGAGTACCCGAGCCAATCATCAAGGCATGGGCAGCGTGTTGGGGCCTGGCTGCCAGCAGTTCATGTCTTGGCAGTTCGTGGACCGGCAGTTGGGAACCACTGTCCTATAGCACCTGCAAGCCCTTTTTGCTCAGCAATTTGTCTCATCTAGAGAGGGTTTCTGGACTAAGTTCAAGGTGTGTAGAAGGATGAAAGCTTCTTTCAGGAATGCATTGTAAGGCAGCCAGAAAGCACAGCAAGGCCACAGCAGAGCTCCACGATTTGTTAAGGCAAATCAGCTGTAGAGGATCAGCAGCTGCATCTCACACACACATCCCTCCTGTGGATTTTCTGCCTGCCTGCGCTCATCTCATTCAAAGCCCTGCTCCTTCTTACTCATATACTGCCCCAGCCTAGACTTTGACCTGCCCCTAGAATTGTTCCTGCTTTGGAACCAGTCCTCCTCTTGCCTTCCTTGACACAAGGCAATCTGGTTATGACCCTAAGCCTGGTTCTGACTCAGTCTCAACTTCTGGTGATGGCATTTGGATTTTGATTCTTTTTTTGACCTATAGCTCCAGTCCTCATTTGGATTTTAACTTGGTCTTACGCTCAGGCATTTAGCCTCCAGTCCCTAGGCCTAGTTCCTGTTCTAACCACTACAGATGGCTGCCTTTGAAAGAATCACTAGCCACCTTATCTGTTCCACTAACAGAAGTTGGTCTGAAAACAATATATTCTTTCACCAAACTTGTGTCTCTTATGCTAATATTCTGGTATGTGTGAACTATTTCTAACTCCACCTCACGTTGTACTTTCCACAAGAACCAGAAATTCCTAACATGGTAATAATGTAGTTATAGAATCAATTTTTGCTTCCAAAACCAACAAAACTGACTATCTAATGTATCTGCAATCAATGTCTAGTCAACCAGTGATGCGTCAATCCCATATTTGATAGCGCACTATGCTTTACCATGGCAACTATGGTGACGTCTCAAAACAGTAAGGGCCATGTCCTGCTTGCCTTACTGATATGAGTTCAAGGGAGCCAACAGCATCTCCAGGCCTCTGGGCAAGGTGGGGGCTGGGGTAGCTCTGCGCACCTGGAAGGGACAGAAGTGGTGGAGCTGGGGGAAGCCAGCCCTCAGCGCCTCATGGATCACGCTCCCCCATCCCTCCCAAGCACTTGGCACTGACTGGAGCATGCCATGTAGCATTCTGGTGAGATTTAAAGGCACTGGGTCTCTGGGCTCTTTTAAATTGCTGGGCCCTGGGGAAACTGTCCCCCTCCCTCTCCCCTCCATGGGCCTGTGAGAGTTGCTTCATTCAAGTCTCTGGGACAAATCCTCAATTTATGCAAATTGCCATAGCTCCACTGAAGTCACGTGGGATTACACAAACACGGGCAGCATGATTTAGCTCTAAATTAATCAGGCCAGAACAGCAGGCTGATTAATAAGAAAAGTTAATTCATGTACAAATAGATGGGTAATCAGATAGTCTAATGGGATTTTTGTAATTGGTTTGTCTGAAGCATGGTAACTGTGGATCTCCAAGTTAATCAGGCAAAAAGAGTAGTACAAAAAAATGTCAAAATGCGGTATTAAGTCACCCTGTGTAAACACAGTAGTTAGATTGCAAGAAAATTTCTGTAATGCTCTAGGGAGCTAATTTCTTTTTACCACATAAAACTACTGTACCTGTATGACTCCGAATATGAACTCTTAATGTTCCATTGCTTGCGAACTTCTGTCCACAATATGGGCATATTTTCTCCTTTTCCCCTGTGTGTGTCTGGATGGGGGGAAAAGGAAGAGGAAGAAAAAATAAAGGTAAGAAAAGATTTTGCTTTGCTTCAAAGAATTAGGTTCAATAGAAGACTCAATATACTTGACATTGACTATTTTTCTTCATTTTTCTCTATTGTTTTTTTTTCTTCCAAACGTATATTTCCTTCTACAGTCATTAATATTTGATTCCATGCCATCAGGCAGAGATTCTAAAGAATTAATCATGGATGTTCTTTTAGTCCACACAATAGCTAAAGTTACTAAATTAATCTCATTATTGATTGTGAAATAAACCCGTTTATCAAATCTAACTACAGTTTTACCCAGTTTATGATTCCTTAAATAGTTTAGTTTATAAAGTTTTGATTAATCTTTATGTGCCTTTGCCAACATCCACAATGGTGGGGGGAGAGGAAGAGTACCTATTTTTCCAATGCTATTTCCAGTTTAAAACAGGAAACATGGATTTCTCCAAGACTCCACTAACCTCCATAAAATAAAAGCCTACTGCTTAAAAGCTTCTATTATGTCCGGTCTTCTTTTATTACAAAATAAAATAGAGTTTGATTTGGCCTGCAGAAATTTTTTTCCTGTAGGAATATCATTTGGAGAAAAGGTTGGGGAACTTTTGCCACAATTTCTCGTTTTTCTAACTGGCTTAAGCTCTAATTGAAATATATTTTGGAGCAGAGTTTAAATACAACTCAAATCAACATGGACAGTTATTCAACATAGAAAACTGTAGTTCACTTCAGTGCACATGAGCTGCAACACTGGATCCTCTATGTTTAATGCATAATAAATATTTGATTCATCCATTTATGGAAATTTCTGTAAAATATTTTGTGCATATTATGTACTTTGATAGGAATTGACTCAAATGTCTATTTCAGGGTATGCTTGTGTTAACTGTCGGCTTTAGAAGAGGAAAGTCTGCTATAAGGCAGGAATAGCTATAAGCCAATCATGGACATCTGTGGGCACAATTTCAAATGCTACACAATTGTTTTCATATGTATCTACACTTGCCAGAAAAATGATGATGTGAAAGACTGAGTCTTTGAGGTATTTCCAGTTTGAACCAAACAATACAATGCTTGGAAGTCTTATAAATATCATACTTAACATTCATAAACCCATAAAAGTTGGGATAACAACCCAGACTGCTGGATTCTTACCATCTTTTAAGATGAGAATATCTTTACCTATTTTTTTGTCAGAACACTTTCCCATACAAAAATTTTAATCTAAAGTTTGAAAAATAAATTATTTGAACCATTATCAGCTGACATAAAACAGTAAAAAAAAAATCTTAATTTTGTATAAAAAGATCAACTCTTATCATTTTAGGTATGTCACTTAATGTATATATCTCACGCAAATTAATGTACGAAATCAAATCTAAAATACAGATTACCATTTTGCCCAAACAAGGCAGACAAGAAGTTACAGATATTTGGAGTTATTTTTGTATGCAGCTAGGAGGCAGAGCGCAAAAAAAAAAAAAAAAAATTCTAAACAGTTATATTCCTATTTACCAAGGTAACAGTTAATATTTTTATTGCATAAATAAGAAATATTAGTTATGGAAAGTCACATTAGTGTGTGTTTGTGTTTAAACACATACAGTAAATTCCCTGTGGGTAACAGAAGAGCAGATACCTCTCCTGGGAAAAATGCTTTCATCATTAACTGAAAGAGCAGCAATTTTTTTTAACTTCAGTTTTTCTGTATTTTATTATCAGATGTTTTACCATGAAAATATGAATTTGTTTTCTTAAACTCAATGTAACTGGCAATCTAATTAGGACTAGAAACTTTGATATCAGTCATACATGGATAGGACACATCACTTTCTTGAGGTTACTTCCTCTCTCCCCATAATTCTATTCCTACAACAAGAACAATTAAAAATCCAATTTCCATGTTTACTTTAAAAGGTAAGAATGGCCATGCTGGGTCAGAACAAAGGACCATGTAACTCAATATTCAGTCTTCTCTCAGTGCCCAAGTGCCCCAGAGGGAATAAACTGAACAGGTAATCATCAAGTGATCAATTTCCTGTCACTCATTCCCAGCTCTGGCACACAGAGGCTAGGGACATAATCGCCGCCCATCTTGACTAATTTACATTGATGGACCCATCATCCATGAACGTATCTAGCTCTTTCTTGTACTTTGTGATGATGTTGGCCTTCACAACTTCCTCTGGCAAAGCAATCCACAGATTGCATTGTGGGGGGAGAGGGGAAAGAGGAGGGAATTAGTTGTTTTAAACCTGCTGCCTATTAATTTCATTTGGTGGTCCCTAGTACTTTTTTTAGAAGGAGAAAATAGCACTTATCTACCTTCTCTACACCTATAAAATCATGACTGATCACAATCATATCCCTGCCCCCTTAGTCATCTCTTTTCCATGCTGAAAAGTTCTAGTCTTATTAATCTTGGCTCATATGGAAACGGTTCCATATCACTAATTATTTATGTTGCTCTTTTCTGAACCTTTTCCAATTCCAATACAAGTTGGACCTAAGGATGTTAAATTGCGGTTAATTTACTTGTCAAGTAGTGGATGGAATTTTCATCGACTACTTGACTAGTCGATAGGCACTTCCGCATTCCTCCTTTGAAATGTACAAGAGCCCCAGCAGGAGCTCTTGTACATTTCAAAAGGAGGAATGTGGAACACCAATGCTTATTGGATCAACTAGTCAACTGACTATCCGATAAGCAAATGCTTATTGGATCAACTAGTCAACTGACTATCCGATAAGCAAATGCTTATTGGATCAACTAGTCAACTGACTATCCGATAAGCAAATGCTTATTGGATCAACTAGTCAACTGACTATCCGATAAGCAAATGCTTATTGGATAGTTGACTAGTCTTTAACATCCTAGTCTGGAACCCTCAGTCCTGGATGAGGAATTTTGACAGACCAGGGGAGGTAATTTCTGGCCCCTCCTGCTACCAGCTCCCTCCAGCCCTGGTCCAACTGTTAAAACCAGCCAGCTCCCCCCTCTGCTGGCCCCTGCTGCCCTGTCAGCCTTCACTACCCTGCAGGCAACCCCACTGCATCTGTGCACTGGGGTCCTGCTGCTGCACTGGGCAGCCCTGCTATCTCCACTCACCAGGCTCCCACTACCATACCCGGCTCCCGCTGCCTCTGCTCACCAGGGTCCCACTGCTGTGCCAGGCAACCCTGCTACCTCTGTGCACCAGGCTCTAGCTGCTGCATCATGCAGCCCCACTGCCTCTGCACTCCCGACTCTCATTGCAGCTCCTAGCTCCTGCTCTCTCTGCTTGCCAGGCTCCTGTTGTCGGGCAGCCCCTGTGACTCCATGCACTGGGCTCCCACTGCCCTGTTACGCAGCCACACTACCACCTGGAGCTCCTGCTGCCCTATTGGGTAGCCCTACTATCACGCATCGGCCTCCTGTTGCCCTTGCAGCCTGTAGGGCTCCCAAGCACAGATGTTGCCAGACCAGAGAGTCCCAGTTAAGAGAGTTTCAACCTGCACATCTTTTTTGAGATGGGACGGTCATATCTGCATACAATATTCAAGATGTGGGAACAGAGACACTAGGATATTTTCTATCTTCTTATCTCTCCCTTTCTGAATGATTCCCAACATTCTCTTCACTTTTAACCACCACTGCACAACTGAGTGGATGTTTTCAGAGAACTCTCCATAATGACTCCGAAATCTCTTACTTAAGTGGTAACAGCTAATTCATTTTATATGTATAATTGGGATTATGTTTTAAAATGTGCATTGCAACATTAAATTTAATCTGTCCAGTCACCTAGTTTTGAGAGATCCTTTTAAAGCTATTCACAGTCGGTCTGGGACTTACCTTACTGGCCAATACCCTTACCTATCAACAACTATAAAACCAATCTTGAGCGATATGCTGGACATTTGCAATTTTCACTGACTATAGCGGGAACTAAGAGCATTCAGAATTTTATAGGTGGTGTTCAGTACCTTTGCATTATTGAGCCTTTTATGGCTAGAATGTCATACTGGTCTATGCCTAGCTATTTTGAAGGGACAATGCCTGAACATAGAGGTATCAGAAGAACCACTCTGCAGCGAAAGCTGTGGGCATGAGTTCTTGCAGATTTTCACATATTGCTCTGAGGCCTGAATTCAGGAAAGCATTTTAAGCCTGTGTTTAAGTATGTGCTTAATGTTAGTATGGATGTTTCCTTTAACTGCAGTCTAACAATACATCTCAACTAACCAGGAGAAGATGCCCTCCCATTTGGTCCTAGCCATTCTATTTTGCTGAAACTGATAGCCCAGACTGATTTGCATTGAACAGCAACTTATTCCACAAATAAGCACATTTACTGAATGTAATAATTACTCATGGTGGAAGGTAATATTCAAAGACAGCAAGGCTGTCAAAATCTGGCCCTTATTTACTTCTTTACTTTACCATGAGAGTAAGAGTTACAGCCATTTCTTTTTACTATTCTTGTGTCTGAACTATGTATTTACTTACTCATGATATCAATATTCAGGATTATCTAGACAAAATGTCTTCAGTTCAAAAATCAAAGGTAACCCCCCAATATCCTAATGGTGAAAAAAGCAAGAGACTTTCAATAAATTCAGACTCATTCTCTTCCCACAATAAAAGGCTGAACTCTTTCAAAATATGTTGTGAAAGGGATTCTACCTACCAGCTACACTGTGAGCATCACCATGTTACCTCACAAATAACCTCAACAACTCCCATCTCAGTCTTCTTCTATGAAGAACGATTTATCAGTCAACCCTTCCCTTCTCTTAGGATTTGGTTAAAAAACATCATTTAGGATAACTGTCTATATTTCAAATAGGATAGAAGTAAGATTATTAAACCATTCATCCCGCTGACAAATTCAATTTTTAAAACTTTTAATTTAATTCTTTGTAAGACAGGAAATTAATTCAAATTTTGATTGAAAAATCCTCGGCCATTAAAAAGTTATACATTCTTTATTCTTCTTGA